GGTTTATGCTAACGCATTTGCTTGCCTGCATTGCGATTCAGGTTATCAGGTTTGCATAGAGAGACTAACGTTCAATGTTCCAAACAGCTTTAGAGTGTTTTTCGGGCAATCAGAGAGGACGGCATGACAGTGTTGCAAACTTTGGCAAGCAAAGCGCTGTAGTCTAGCTTTCGTGCGCGCTGCTCTCAAGTACACATAATCCCCCAGTGAGGTTCTTGCAGGTAAGGAAGAGCTCAGGGCAAAGCTTTCTGAGATCTTTGCGGCCTACATCCTGGAAGTTCTGCAAATCGCACGTGTGTCCAGCGCATTTAAGGAGCTCACGGAGACTGTGGCTGGGTTGCTGTTAAGGAACTTATGGGTATACATATATAATACATAATGGGGTTTCACCAACATAGTAACTGAAATTAAGTTTCCATTTAATTTGCCATTTTCTTTTCCATTTGAGTCTCCATTATAGGGGAGAATGTAACTTAAATTAAGTTCCTTAGCAGCAACCCTATATACCCTTATATACCCCTAAATAACTACCCCCTATATACCCTTATTATAGTAACTTAAATTCAGTTCCTTAGCAGCAGCCCAGGTGGGGAGCTGGAGAAAGGCCTGGGCCGAGGGAGTCATCACCAAAACCCATGTTCAGGAGCCAAACCATAAACCCTAATTAAGGCCTAAACCCTAAGCCTTAGACCCTAAGCCCTAAGCCCTAAACCCTAAACCCTAAACCATGTTCAGGAGCTCTGGGCTGGGGCTGGGCAGCTGGGAGAGGCTTGGAAGGCATTTGGGGTTTAGGGTTTAGGGTTTAGGGCTTAGGATTTAGGGTTTAGGGCTTAGGGTTTAGGGCTTCGGGTTTAGGGCTTCGGGTTTAGCGGGTTAAGATCACTTCAGACCAACGGCAGAGTCATTTAGCAAGAGTGTGGGATGGACGCATATGGTAGCTTGCATGAGAAGGGGGCTCCTAATCTAGACGCCAATATATGACAATCCCTGTCACGAAGACTCCCAAGAAGGGGCCCGTAACTTGATTCCTATACACTCTCATATACCCCCAGGAACCCCTACATATCCCCCCCCCCTATGTCCCCTATACCCCCCCCAAACCCTAAACCCTAAATCCTAAACCCTAAATCCTAAACCCTAAACCCTAATTCCTAATTCCTAAACCCACTTTGCTCCTCCAAGGTGGGCTTCACAGTGCTGGATGGGGCAGTGAGCCCTGACCTGGCGCAGCGAGCACGTGGAGAGCTGGAAGCCATGGCAGCCCAGGGAGCCCTGTCGGAGTCTCTGGGTTGCTGTTTAGGGTTTAGGGGCTGGGGTTTAGGATTTATTTAGGGTTTAGGATTTAGGGTTTAGGGTTTAGGATCTAGGGTTTGGGGTCTAGGATTTAGGGTTTAGGCTTGAGGATTGAGGGTTTAGGCTTGAGGATTGAGGGTTTGAGCTAAATCTACGTTACCACAGTCTGGGTAGATAGTAAAACACAGGGTTTCCTTCTTCCAGTAACTGAACTGAAGTTCAGCAACCAAGGTTTTCGCAGAGCACCTGCAACCTGTGTCAATATTTGTCGATTTTTCATTTTTGGAGTGCACATCTCCCTTTCTGGGTTTAGGGTTTGGGGTCTAGGGTTTAGGGTTTAGGGATTTCTAAGCGCAAGCAGGGACCTTTCGATCATTCGCAGAATAATAGTTGGACACTAACCCTCTGGAAACTCATTAAATTGAGGATATATGAAGCCTTTAATATGGCTCCTATAATAGACTGTTCTGGGGTAGGGAGGCACAAAACCCTAAACCCTAAACCCTAAACCCTACACCCAAGGCAATCCGGGCTCCCAACATCTCTGGGTTCGCTTCGCTTCACTGGGGGAACCTGGGTTGCTGATGACGACCTTAATTTAAGTTACTAGAATAAGGAAATTCGTTCGTTTACTATATACCCATACTATGGTAATTCAAACCCCTAAACCCTAACCAAGCCCAAAACGTTGAACACTCAACTTTAAGCCCTAAACCCTAAACCCCCAAGCCCTAAACCCTAAACCCTAAACCAAGGAACGCCTGGACCTGCAGCGCCGTTCTCCTGCGCTTCTCGAGCTGGGGGAGGCGTTGGCTGCCCTTCCTGGCGCACTGCAACTTGCTGGTGGAGATATGGGGGCTATGTAAGGCTTATATAGGGTTCTATAGGGTTCCATAGTGTTCTATAGGGTTCCATAGGGTTATATGTATAAATAAATATATACATATATATGCATATATATATATATAGGGCTATATAGGGTTATATAGGGTTATATAGGGATAATGGAAAAATCGAAGCTAGTATTTGGGGTGTAGGGCTTCGGGTTTAGGGGTATGTTGGGTGGACCCCCCGCCTCACCCAGTAATAGGGACTATAAGGGATAATGGTGATGATGCTAAGGTCCTAGGGGTTTCTGTAAGGTTTAGGGTTTACAGACCATAGGAGTGGATCCTAGTAGTAGTTCTTGTAAATCTGTGGTTTAGAGGTTTAGTGTTTAGGGTTCTTTAGGGAACAGAACAAGTAATCCCCAACACCTAGTACTTTCCATTTCCTTTTCCACCCCTCCCCCCCTTCCCTGCTGGCCGGAGGTAAGTGATACAAACCCTATGCAAACCATACTTTCCATATCATCCTCCACTTTCTTTCTATTTCATTCTCCATTTTTTGGGGAAATATCCCTCCATCCAAACTTGTTGTTTCCATTTTGCCTTCCATATTCTTTAGGTAATCCTATATTGCCCCTATATCCCTATATATCCACACCTAAGGCAAAACGCTGCCAAAGATGCCGGCATCCAGGCCCCCAAGATGCGCCTGTTCCCAGCAATCATGGCTGCCACTTATGGCCCCGGCTCCCACTACGTACCACACCAGGACGACTTGGTGTAGGGTTTAGGGTCTAAAAGATCCTGCAGGACCTTATTATACCATAAGACCATAGCTCCCAAAGGTGCTGAGGTCATGCAGATTTTTTTGTATCCACCTTGTTGGCGCTGAAGGTGGAGTGGGGGAGTGGATGCCCGCAGCTATCCCCATACGAATCCCCACGCAACTATACATAAATTCACATACATATCCTGATCATAGTGGTACCTATATGCACTCCCCGACTTCTTTAAGCACCACTAGGACAAGTACAGTGGTGGAAGCGCCGGCTTCGAGAACACACGCATGCTGACCATCATTTGCTACCTAAACCCGGACTGGCAGCCTGGGGATGGTGGAGAGCTGAGAGTCTTGGCAACCCGCAATGAGCCAGCTGACCAGGTTTCCTGGAAGTCTAAAAAAGGAACCTAAAGCTTGTAAGGAAGTTAAGTTGAACAAAGAAGAAACTAAAGCTTCTAAGGAAGTTAGGACGCAGATGTGTTTTTTGACATGAGCTGGAAGAACACCAGTTGGCACAGCATTTGCTGACCTTTATCCTTTTCACGAGAGCCCTGTGCAGTCCGCGCCTGGCAGTAGACTGCCACAGCTGCTGAAGATTGCTGCTGACCACTCGGAGTCCACGTCGTCCACGGCATGCGACGAGGATGCCTATGTGGCCCGGCTTTTGGGTTTCGGGATCATAGTGGGAAAGGCTGCGAATCATCATACATCCAAATACAGTATCCTACCTAAAGCTATCCGTACATTCCTGGAAACACAGCCACAAAAACATTACGAAGCCTGGTTTAGAAGCATTCAATCCTGTTTGGCTGGTCAGATCGTAGTAATAACACAGGTATCCCCTTTGCAATCCCTCTATCCCTGAGGCCCCACCCTGAGTCCCAAACTTCCCAAACCCTAAACCCGAAACCCTAGACCCTGTACATTCCTTACCCTTTACCCCTCAACCCCAAACCTCAAACCCTCAACCTACAACACTAAATCCTAAACCCTCAAGCCCACATAAACTTGCCATTACTTGGGGTTCCCAAAACTCCAAAACTTTAAAATCAAAATGACCACCCCCCAAACCCTAAGTAATGGTAATAAACCCAAGGGATCTAAGGGCTCACGATTTTAAGGATGCGCCCAGGTTGATATTCAGCCCCTTCTGGGGCGGATCGTGATGTTCCAGTCCAGGGAGGCCTGGGGTACCTGAAATCTTATCAAAAAAGCCTTAGGTTCAAAGGTTTTAGGTTTGGGTTTTAGGTTAAAGGGTTTAAGGTTTGGGGTTTAGGTTTAAGGGTTTGAGGGTTTGGGGTTTAGGTTTAAGAGTTTGAGGGTTTGGGGTTTAGGTTTAAGGGTCTAAGGTTTCGGCTTTAAGGTCTGGGGCTTACTGTAGGTTTTGAGGCTACAGAAATGGGAAGTTCTCCCATGTCTTTTACCTTATGTAGTCGTAGATCCCAGGCTAGGGCCTGTTCCAAGGCTACCCTGTTTTGAGAAACCTAGCTGTCATAAGGGTTTACACATAGCTCATCTTGAGATAATATTCACGGAGGCCCCATGGTGTTCCATGATAGGACCTTAGGAAGCCATTGACAGGTCGTAGGTCTTAATCATGGGTCCCCCTTGTAACGGCTCCTTCAGTTCCTTAGTACCCCAAACCCTAAACCCTATAGCCTAAGCCCTAAGCCTTAAACCCTAAACCGTAGTATGCTGCTTATACCGGTACACTGGCTTTAAAGTTCCCAAGGTAGCTGCAGACTTCCGAAGACCTGCCCTGAACCTGTTTCATCACTAGACGCAAAGGGGCCCCTAAATCCCCTCCTAGGGTTTTGGGATTACTAGGGATAAGGGTTTTAGGGATTAGGGTTTTAGGGATTAGGGTTTAGGGTTTAGGAGCCCTTAGATCCCCTCCTAGCCCCTACAGGTATGGCATGGCATTCAAGCTTCGAACGCTGCTCGGCGATGGGCGGTGACGCTTTGGCTTCTGGCCGACGTAGACTGAGTTGGGTTTTTCAGAAACAGAGCCGCCCAATATAGATCCCAATCTATTATATCATAATCCTTATCACAGTCGCTCCCAAAGAGGGACCCCAAAAGCTTCGAAAACCCAAGTTGGAGAAGCAGACGTGGTGGGTGGGACTTCTCGCAAGGCTGATGAAGGAAGTCCGCTTACTTGTACCCGCTTCCAACGCCCGTTATATCATGCAGAGACGTAGAACTCAGAAAAACACTTAGCAAAAACATAGAAGTGATATGGTGCAGGATATTGGTAGCAATGGTGGTGTTTGCTGATTTTGCGGATGGGTAGACTTGAAATTCTGAGCGCGGCGAAAGGCAGAAAAGGGCCTTCATCAGCATGGGCCAAACTAAAAGTTCTTTTTGGGAAGCCTAGCATCCTGCAATTCTGAGGGGTACACACGCATCTGCAGTTTGGCACATGTATAGATCATCTGCTACCATCATAGGGATCTCAATCCTGGTGCAAAAGCAGATGCGGAAGTAAATATATCGGGATAACAAGATCACTGCTTGGGAATACACGGGTCCACGTCTTTGGCTATTCGAAAAGAATCTCATTGGGCTGAAATCACAGAAGCCCTGAAGCAGAGATTCCAATCCGAAAGACATGAGCCCGCTGTTAGCCCGAAGCTTGAAGCCCTATTCAGGGATATATACCCCCATAATGGAGAATCAAATGAAGAATGAAATGGACGATAATATTGAAACTGAGGCTTATGTCGGGGTTATAGTGTCATTCTTTTTCAACCCTGACCTGTATGCCTATTCCCTCGTACACACTCCTGTTTACAGGAATAGGGACTCCAATATTGCCCTTGATAAAAACACCCCCCATTAACCAGACCAGTAACCTGTAGAATGTATGGCTGTCTTCTTGTTCTTCTGACTGTAGTAGTAATGGTAGCAGTCATAACAATCACAGCAATAATGCTACCAATACTAGACAAGTATAACGATTTTAGTGTTCTGGTAAATTTTGGTTTTAAGCGTTTTGTAACTCGTAGAGCATTTTTGGGTATGGTTGTTGTTATGAAGTCCAGGGGCGACACGGACCAGATTCTGAAAGCTGCGGAGATCAGAGATGTCGGTCTGCAGGCTGCCGGCAAAGGATTTGGGTTTCGCGGCTTTGGGCTTTGGGCTTTGGGGTTTGGGGGCTTGGGTTTAGGGTCTGGAGTTTAGGGATAAGGGATTAGGGCTTAGGGTTCACTTTGGGTTGGGGGTTTGCTGAACTGTTCTCTTGTCGCCCTCGTCCGAAATCTACGGGTTTTGCAGGCATTGACAAACGATGGCAGTACTGGCAATCACGGCAATGCTAGCAAAAGCAGTAGAATTATTGACACTTCAATAGGGACCGCATGGTGCAGGGTTTGAGGTTTCAGGACAGAGAGCCACTGCAAGTCTAGCGATCTTGCAAGAGACAAAGACGACGTAGTTTTGTAGCCAGATCGCGATCTTTCCTACCTTGGATATGTAGTTAGATGTTGTTTCATTGCCTCACAACAGAGTCTCAAATCACCAGGGCTCCTCCTCACGTTCGATCCTGCAACTGCATCCCGCGAATCAACCAAAGAGCTTATGGGAAGATGTTAGGAATTGTTTCTTTTCTGCTCATTTGTCCCTGGTTTAGATGGGACCTTAAGCCTCCGCCCAACTTGTTGCTATTCCGCCGGCTGCAAGCTGTGGAAGGCGACTCTCAAGATCGCATCCTCACCGACTCCGCTGCTGGCTTTGATGCGCCTGTCTCAGGCCAGGATGCAAGGGGTTTAGGATTTAGGGTTTAGGGTCTAGGGTTTAGGGTTTGGGGCCAAGTAGGCCTATGCTCACCTATAAAGCAGTGCAGCCAGGAGGAGACGAAGATCTTGGTCTACATGAGCTATAGTCTAAACTCCTAGTATCCCGCTTAATAACCCCTCTACTGCTCCCCAATATAATCCCCTATACAACCCCCTTTAAGGAGTTTAAAGCCCTAAACCCCCATCCCTGAACCCCACATAATCCTGTATATTATATATATATATTATGTATATTACCCCCATATAACCTCCCTTAAGGAGTTTGAGCTACAGCGTAGGTATGCTCTCAAAAAGCTTTATGTCAGCCCTCTAGCTTGTCATTGTGTCTTGCTTGTTCCTCAAGCCTTGAACACACACCTTGGCCCCCCCGTCCTCTTGCACTTACTGGTTCTGAGTAGGGAATATGGGTAGATATTATGCAAGGATTTCATAGGATTTAGAGTTCAGGGTTTTATTCCTTTATTTCCTACTCAGGACCAGTAAGTGACCATGTTGTTGGAAAAAAATAAGAGCCCGAGGGCTTCTACTCTATATAACCCATTGTAGTAGTTTCCATTTTCTTTTCCATTATCCCCTATATAGACCCTATATTACCTTGTATTATCCCAATATTACCCTTGTAATCAGAGCTCCTGGCTTGCTGTCAGAATTTCCCGGCCCACGTGGTTGGCCTGCCGGATCCCAAGTGCGTTCCTTTCGCAGTTGTAGGTGCTGTTGTGTCTCAGGAGGTGAAGGTCCCTATGGCAATCCCGCGAGTTCATGAATCTTCAGCATGTGAATCCATTCAAGGATCCGCCCACGGATTGTTTGCCCCCCCTTGGTCCTAAACTTGCTGGCTCTTAGTAGGGAATTAGGGAACATATTTCTCATATTGCCGCTCTATACTATTTTCCCATATTCCCTACTAACAACCAGTACGTGAAATCAACTTGGGTGACTCTCTCTCATCATGTGTGCAGACTTGGGGCTGACTGGTTGTTGGGAATATGGGAATATAGGTATATACAGGGTTATATAGGGATTATTCCCTTATTCCCTACTAAGAACCAGGAAGTTGAGCCTTCCCGAGCTCCCAATTATCACCTAAGCCCTCATTATGGTACCCGACAGCCTTTCGCCCAGAGGCAATCAATATCCGGAACATGATGCTCATCTGCACAGGGTGGGACAACCTTCTATCCACTCGCCCTGGAACTGCTTCAATGACGTCCTCCTCCAGTCCTTTGTGGCGTTTTCCATAAAGATTTACGTTGAGTTTCCATTTACAACCTTGCTTGCAGCCCACATGCAGGCTCTAGCAAGCTAGAATCGAAACTCTCCTGTGAGATCCTACAGTTTGACGTTAAACAAAGGGCCCATGGTGACATTTTACTTTCTGATACCAATATGCAGCACATGCTTGTCACAACCCAGAACTTCTGAACCTCAGATTTCCCGGTTCCACCCGCAAGGCGGTAGTGTTAGTACTGCTAGCTAAGGCAGGAACATATTCACCGAATGTCTCAGAGTCTTGAAGCTTGCACCAGCTGAAAGAAGGGATGCTTTTGCATCCGGGAACGACATTGCGCTGCAGGTCTCGAATGTCTGTGAAGAAAGGGCTTCGCACGAACCTCAGCGGCGGCTTTTCATGTCAGAATTCTTCTATGAGCCAGCTAGGAACAGCTCCCGAAGGGATATTCAGGGTCTCTCATGGATATCTAGGATCTGCAAGGAGCTCTTGGTCGTCCTTTAAGGGCGTTTGATAAGTTGATGTTGATGGACGACACCGCGAGGTCAGAGGCAGAGAGCTGAAGTTGTTAGGTCCTGTTCAATGCAGACTTGACAGATTCTAGCTGTGAGCATGCAACCGCTCAATTTCTCTAGCTTGCCAAGCCTGCAGAACTTGGTGTGGCCCACAAGAAGCTCACCCGCCAATGGATTTCAGGGTTTATGGGATATAGGGTTTAGGCATTTGCGGCTCAATGTTCTTGAGAGTCTTAGACGAAGGAAGATGTACAGGACCTCAAAGTGTAATCCTGTCCAACCGGGGTAATGCTATTCTTCAACAGTGAGCTCTACGCTTCACAGCCTTGATTCCTTGAATTTCTTCCTCCTTTACAGCCCTTATAATATCTATGATCTCCCGACTCAAAATTCCAATCCCAGAATCTCCCCAGCAAAAACCTAGACCCTAAGCCCTGAAACGGAAACCCTAAACCCCTAAGAACCCTAAAATCCAGTCTAAACTCCTAGTATCCCCCTTAATTACCACCACAGTTCCTGTATAATCCCCATATAACCCCCTTTGAGGAGTTTAGACCCTAAGCCCTAATCCATAAACCCTATATAATCCTATATATTATCCCCATCTAACCTCTTTTAAAAAAGTTTAGACCCTAACCCCTAAACCCTATAGAATCCTACATATTATCCCATTATAACCCCCCTTTCAAGGAGTTTAGACCCTAAACCCTAAACCCTAGATAATCCTGTATATCATCCCCATATAGCCCCCTAAACCCTAAACCCTGAACCCTAAACCCTAAACCCCCCCCTTTAAAGGAGTTTAGGTTAGAGCTCACATGGTCAGCAAGAAGCCTGGCCAAAGGCAGACAGGGGCGCGAGCTACGGGAGATGCTGAGAGATGGAGCCGAGGTGCCACCGAAGGTTTAGGAGTCCAAGGGGTTTAGGGTTTAGGGTTTATAGGGTTTCGGGTTTCTTGGAGGGTTTAGGGTTTATAGGGTTTAGGGTGCGTAGGGTTTATGGGGTTTGTAGGGTTTATAGTGTTTTGGAGTTCAAGGGGCTTTAGGGTTTAGGGTTTACAGGGTTTTTAGGGCCTAGGGTTTATAGGGTTTAGGGTTTATAGGGTTTAGGGTTTACAGGGTTGTTAGGGTTTAGGGTTTAGGGTTTATAGGGTTTAGGGTGTATAGGATTTATAGGGTTTATAGGGTTTAGGGTCAAGGAGTTCAAGGGTCAAGGACCCTAATTCCTAGACCCAGGGGTTTAACGTTTGGGAGCTGTGGGGTTAAGGACCTTAGACCCTAAACCCAGAAGTTTAGGGGTTGAGGGTTTATGCCGTTCATGTTTGGAGTACCGTGGGCTTAGCAGTTTTCGGTGTTAGGACATCTGGGGTTCAGGCTGTTGATGCTTAAGATTTCCGGTCAGGTGTTGAGAGGGGCTTTGGATACAAGAGGTAAGTCCGGGTGTAGGG